CCTCTACCGATTGAACAAAGTGATGCAGACTAAAAATACCCAAAAGCATTATAGTCAAGGATTCATACTTTACAACGGTACACTACATTTAATTAAAATTATTTATTTTGTTATTAAAAACCCGCATCGAAAAAGGTGACGATTTCGCCCCGGTCTCACCTAGATATAAGATACTTTTTAAATTATATTTTATCATAATAATGGTAATATGCACAAAATGTATTAAATAATTCTTTTATCTTTATTGATATTTTTGTTTATATTAATTACGACTTTATTCGTTAATCTTAACACGTGAAAAATGCTTCAAAGATATTATCACTCAAACAATTTCGCCATGATACTAAAATTTGACCAATGTTTAATAATCGCTCAACCGGTGTTGATGACGATATGTTGATAATTTGCAGTTTTAATCTTTTAAAAATTTAAAGAATTGGGATATTCAAAAAAATATGTGCAAATGTATCTGAAAAAAGCAATTTAGATACCATGTTTTGTATCTAGATACAGATATAGATACTTCAATTCGAATATATCTTATATGAGGGAACGGTCGAAACTGACCCTCACCAATTTTAATGAATTTGGAATATGTTTTAGAGCATTGAAAAATATTAGATTTGTATTTTTTTAGCTACGTATCTCGACATTTAGGGGGTAAATCACCCCCTTGAAAAAAATCAGTTTTTTTATTTTTGAGATAATACCGTCGAAACGGTTAGAGATATTAAAAAATGTTACCAATAAAAGTTATATGGTTTTTAATGGTCTTCAAAGTAGTGCAATCAAAAATTTTTAATTTTTTTGAATTCTCCCCTCCCCACCTATAATTTTGAAAAAAATTTTTTATAACAATTCTGAAAGTCTATTTAATATCAAATCTAACCATATATAATAAAGTTGTATTCCGACAACACAATTTTCAGAAAAAAAGTTAAAAATATCATTATACGCGCTCCATTCGTATCTAGCCAAACGCTCGCTACTCGTGATGACCGTCTTCCCTCGTAATCTCACAGAAAGTCGAAAATGAATTATTGATAAAAAATTTATATATTACAATTTATGTATGTATATTGTATTTAATAATTAATAATTATATAAATATTTAATAATTAAATCTATAATAATTTATATATTTATAAACATAAAAATTTATAAAAAGTAATTAAAATTTATAAATTAAAACTTTTATTTTTTATATATTTAAATATTATGAAACAATTCTGTAGCATAAATAATTTACATATATGTAAATTAAGAATGAGTAAATATGTTTCAAGTAAAAAAAGTAGAGCCAATCAAGGAAAATCAACAAGAAAAATCTCTTTGTACAAAACATTTGTTTCACAATCATCATGTTTGTAATCAATATAAACCATAAATATGTTTACATATATGTATATGAATCTTATATCTTTGGTGTAAAATTTTATAATGTACAATGTATTTCATATATACTTATACAAAATTTAATATAATGATATAATTTATAACAGCTCTTTAAAAATTAATATATATATATATAAAAGGCAATAAGAGCTAATTAAGTTCTGTTATTAATATTTATTTGTGGAAAAAAATTTTTACCATAAAATATTAGACAAAAAAGTTTTTCAACCTTTTTCAGCGCATCATTTAAAATTAAAGATTAATAGAAATTAACAATAAATTATTCATAACTGTCAATATACTAAAACTATACAGAAACAGAGTTATTCGCATAAAACTATGGCAAGATATTTTTTTTTTTTTTTTAATTAAATTAACGCATTTTTTAAAAGCATGAGCATTTTTATATATTCTATTCCTCGAATCATCATTTAATGTAATTGTCGCGACACAGATCTCTCGCTAATTGTTCGGTTAGGAAGTCGGTTGCGAATCTCGATAACAGCAATTGTTAATATGTCTATAAAATCATTATATACGAAAAATTAACATTGAAAGATAAGTAAATTAATAAAAATGGACTTATAGTTAAATCGAGTAAGATGTTATATTGTGACGTGGAGGCTTAGATGTTGATAGCTCGAGGTAACAATAACGTATGATTTTTAACTCTCAGAGAGACGACCGCACAACTGAGAAAATAGTTAGTTGTTTATGTTTTTTAACTTTCAAATCTTTGGTAGTCTATGTATAATGTCGTCATAAATTACTGGCAAGCCATCAATATCTGTTTTTAAATTGAGATTGTTATTTTGCCTTTTTATAAATATCATCTCTGAAATTAATCTTTTATTATATTGTGCTTCTTTATCAAGTATTTTTACATCGCCCCAACAAAATTCATGATTATGTTCTAATCTATGGTCAGTGATTACCGATTTTTTTACATTTCTGTGTATATTAGATCGATGTTCAGATATTCTAATAGATAATTTCCTACTAGTCTGACCAACATACGATGCATTACTATCTTTACAGTCTATCTTAAGGTGCGTTTTCGTTGCTGCTACCAGGCTACAAGCGGTTGGTTCGTGTTTGAAGACATGACGTCACTAATAGTAACCAAGATTAAAAACGTCTCGAGCAGGCAGTGCGCAAACGTGTTAGCGTGGTTGCTATACACAATGGATCCTGAGAGGTTATATATGATATTAAGTATGATGGAAATGATGATTGATGATGAATTATCACCTATTATTAATATGTGTCAGTTACAACCCACAAGCAGAATTGCCCTTTTCTTTCTAAAGGATAGAATAAATCATTTCAAAATAGGAATAATTGCTAACAAAGTGGGTGACCCATTACATTGTTCAAGATTTTCATAAACAGTTTAGGTATAATAAGCACAAATCAGCTTTGTTACTGCCACATTTCTTATTCATCATGCTGTCGATGTTATTTTTGACATTCATTGACTTGTTAGATTAAGTGAATTCTATCTAAATTTGTCTTTCTTGACAGGATGATGAAGAGCACATATTGGGCTCTTATAGACACAGTTCGACCTTACTACCCTGTCAAGTGCTAGAGAGGTGATGCACCTTTGGTAACAATTGAGAAAGCTGTCCTGATGACATTGTGTTATCTGGGGAAGCATATGCCTTTGTCTGATATAGGTGATCGATTTGCTGTGGCTCAAAGCACAGTTTTTAAGGAGGCCAAAACTATCATTTATATACCGTGTGATCTTAGAGATACATTTATTGTTTGGCCCAAAGAGAGCGAGTGTGTGATACTGAGCAGGCAATTTAAGGATCGTGTAGGATTTCCTGATGAGCACTCTGTATGGCTTGGCTATTTTACTTTGAAATTTTTTTCTAAAGACAATGTTCCTCATGCAGAAGCTTTGTCATGTCTTATTGTCTCTTGCCATTTTTTCAGGTGTCATAGGAGCTATCGATGGTTGCCACATTAAAGGTGTACCTCCAACAAACCAGCATTCTAGTTACATATCGTACATGCAACTACTCTATCACACTTCAAGGTGGGATTTTATGAAAAGTGTATTTTTGCCATTAAAATCATAATCTCTCTTATAGTAATATCAGCTTTTCATTTTATAGGAATTTGTACTGCAACAAAAATATTTACAAATGTATCGATTGGAACATCTGGTTCTCGTAATGATGCCCACGTTATGAAGTACTCTAGCGTTTACCGAACGATAATGCGAGATGAAATGGAATCCATGTTTTTTAATAGCAATTATCATTTGATAGGTGATAAGGCCTACCCTAACAGGATGTGGTGCATGGCACCTTTCAAGTAAGTTGAACGTTTTTGCATTCAAATATGTGTTGTTATATTTTACCATGTGAATAGCATCCTAATGCTCTTTCCTTGAATAGGGATTTTGGGAATCTTACTCCAAGACAAAGAACATACAACTATCATCATAGTTCAACCCGCATTGTAATAGAGCACACATTTGGTCTTATGAAGGGCAGATGGAAGCGTTTGATGAAAGTCAATACAGAAATTGCCAAAGTCAGTGACATTGTACTAGCCATCTGTGTTTTGCACAATTTTTGTTATCTACACAATGATGAAGTGATTAAGAAAATGATTCAAGATAAAAGACGCATGCCTAACCAACATGTTTCCAACAATTATATAGACGAAGTCAGCAAAATACAAGGCGCAGAGAAACGCAATAGAATTGTACATTTGTTCTGAAAACTTTATTTGTAAGTCTTACTGTGATAAATGAAAAATATTATAGGAATATCTGGAATAAACTATTATATTGTCTAACTATTATATTGTCTTTATTTCTCATTTCCATCTCATAGAGTACATATTTGCAAATTTAAATGTTTGGCAAAACTACATTAAATAATGAATATAGAAAGTATGTAAAAAAAAAGAATAACATTGTCTTATATTCTTATATTCCCTATTGTCTTATACATATTTTATAACAAAGAAGATACTCAAAATAAAATTTTACTCAGATGGAAATACTGAGTGCAAAACACAACACAATAAAAACATTTTAAATAAGCACAATTATTGAAGAATAAAATAAATATTAATTTAGAACAAAACTAATAGATATACATTGGCACCAAAAGATACATATTACACAAATCTGGGCTTTTTGCAGTTCCTTACATACTACGAAATGACTAAGACACTTTGGCAATGACAGGTAAGTACATAAAACTAGAATCTTTCTGTAATACTTCTTAACTTACAGTAAGTAGTATAAATATAATTCTAACTTAAGTAAAATAAAACTATAATAATCTAACTTAAAATAAAATAATGTAACACTTTAGTATAAGTACATGAAATTTGAGGTAGTTTAAATAAAATATTAATATAAGTACTAAGTAATCCTCTGTATTGATATAAATCATATATAGAGAGACATCCAAAGTAATAAAAGTATATTTGAAATGTGTTCGAAATTCATTTTCAAAGACTTTAAAAGTTGTTTCAAACATATTTCAAATATTTTTTTGCTACTTGGGATATTCTCATAAAAAGATAATAAAGAGGTAACTATTATTTATCACATATGGAACATATCACATTTAATGCTTGTGTTAATCAATGTTAGCTACCTATTTGTAAATTACAATGTTTTTTAATTAGTAGTTTTATTTGAGCTTGTGTTGTGGCTCAACATATTGGTAATGATATTGAGAAAAGCTTTCTTAGTATCATTTGAATCTTGCATTAGTTTCATTAAACTTTCATTTTGCTTACGGCGTTCCTCAGCCTCATTTTTCAGAAAATCCAGGATGCAGGTGTTATCAATCCTAGGTTTCTTTGACTTCGTGGATGACTTTACATGAATGAATGGGCTTCCATCGTTTTCATTTGATGATGCATTTTCAGACTCAGTATTACAAATCCTTATGTTCGTTTGTTTTGAAGAATTTGGAGCATTCGGAATCGTCGCTGGTTGCTCTTTAGAGGTAATGAGTGTAGGTGATACCTCTCTAGACAATGAATCAAGCAAACGTACTGGTTTTGCTTTGTGTTTCCCTTTAATAATGTCAAATACCTCATCATAAAATGCTGGTTTCTTTCCTTTTCCGTTACCAAAACTGCCAGCACCAGCATTCTGTAAAAAGTGCATCACAGCACTTTCAAGGTTGCGCCACTTCTGCGAGCAAACAGATCCTTCATCTCTTGTTCCAAAATTATACTTTTCTTTTAGTTCTACACCAATTTTTTCCCAAATCTTCTTCTTCACAGTTTTCTTATCGTTTAATATCATCTGAATGTCCTTACGTCCCACAATTTCAATTAGGTCATGTATGGCTGCAATATCCAGTAGTGATGGTTTAGATTCTTCATTTCGACATCTTTGATTTCGCTACGCGATTTCCCTTCCAAAAACAAGAATCGAATCACCGACCGATATTGCTCTTTTTCCATTTTTCTAAAATCCGCGGACACGCCCGCTTCCACACGCGGTCAAAACAAAACTACGAGTCCGATTCGGCTGAAATTTTGACAGTAGCCGTCTACGAGAATGTACTACACAATAGTAAAACTCTCTTGCGATACTGGCACCATCGGGCGATGAGGCTAAGTACTTATCGGACTGCCCTCGTATTACGTATTTTAAAGCTTTCACTAGAGCTCTCTGTAGTATTGGAATCGTCTATTATTGTAAAAGGTTCACAGGAATTAGCAGACTTAAATCGTTGGATTACGGAATCATCTAGGGAAAAAAAAATAAATAATCCACCTGAAAAAAGAAAAGTAGAAGTAAAACACAAAGATGCATTAAATATATAGAGAAATTCAAGTAGTTAGTATATAGCTCATTCCGAAAAACAAACGGGTAAAAATTAAAATATCAACTAAAATAAAATTGGCTTATTATATAGCAGGATTAGCTCTCAGCAAATATTTTATTTCAAAACATTTATTAAAATATGACACAAAGACGTAGGTAAGCTTCATGAAAGATAAATTTAATTAACTAACATAACCCCTACAGAACTCACAATGCAAGTATACTTACTTGAAACATGATGGAAAAACATTTGGCCATCAATAGAATGCACGTCACCATCAGCGCGCACGAGGAGGAAATGCTCGTTTAAAGTGAGCCCCGTAATGTCCATTTTTGTTTTTACACCATGGATTTACCTCACGGTTGTATACATCGTGTATACGATCGTGTCAACACTCTACAATTGATTTCGCGCCAAACAACCTACCACAACCGCGCTATCATCCTCAGGACCATGGCAGCGCGGTAGCAGCTACCGCAACCAACCAGGTTGCATCGATGACGTCACAACCAGAAACGAAAACGGTCGTGTTTGTTTCTGGTCGCTTGTGGTAGGGAAACGAAAACGCACCTTAATATATAACATTGGTATTTGAACACTTAGGAATAGGATCTTTATGTACTTTAATATATTTATTCAATTTGTTAAGACTATAAAAAGAGAGTTTAACATTCATATCTTTAATAATGTTTCTATATTGTTCAGTAAGTGTCGGTAAGAATGGGATACAGAAATACGAGACCTTTAAATTTTGGTCATTCTTGTTTGTAAGACTATTCCGTTTTTCTATTAAATGTTTTAGTCTTTGGTTCATTGTGTCAAAAATCAATTTCAAAGGATAGTTATTTTCGAGTAATATTTGGATTACTAACTCTAAATTTTCTTTGTGAAATTCTAGGTTTGATAATAAGAAGGCTCGATCCACCAACCCCATTATCGTACCTCGTTTTTGACTCATAGGGTGTTGAGAAAGGAAGTTCAGATATCTACCAGAAAACGTTTTTTTATGATACCAATCATATATGATGTTGTTATTTACAGTTTAACAATAATAGAACAAAAGAGATTGCAGAGGGAAATAAGAAATTTTTTGTCATCCCCTATATTAATAACATCTCTGAAACAGTGGCATCGACAATTAAAAATCAGATTTTAGAGTGGGGTACCGTTGTCTAAATAATATTAACAAATTTATTAGAGTTCACAAGGACAAAAACGTGCATAATAATAATAATAATGTCGTCTACAAAATTAATTGTAAAAACTGTGAAGCTTCGTATGTTGGGCAAACCAAAAGAAAATTACGTACTAGACTAAAAAAGCATATAAATAACATTAAATTTGATTCTTCCAAGCATTCAGTGGTCTCTGAACATATTGTAGATAAAAAACATGCTTTTGATTCGGATAACGTTAAAATACTTGATATTGAATCTAACTATTATAAAAGACTTATCTCGAAGATGATACACGTAACGGAACAAAAGCATGGTATAAATAATAATACAGACACCGAATTGCTCAACAACGCTTATTTTGACATTCTAGAAGAAATAGCGAATTTTTAGACTTATTAAAATGTTTATGTTTTGCGACTTGACACCTATTTATTTAACTTTTTAAATGACTAGACATCAGTCAAGTACTAAGTTCAACAACAATTAAAGGCATTGTCATCTCAATTTATTCGGAACAATTGTAAGCAACAAGTAACTAATTTTTAATTTTTAATTTTTACATATACATAAGTGGATTTCTATTTTATAATATAAAATTTTTAAATTCAGTTTATAATAACAAATATTAAATAACTTGGAGAGGATGGACACGATCATTGCCAGACTGATAGCCTTTCGCCGATTAACGATGAGTGATTGGTTTGAAGTAATGTTTAAGTGCCACTCCGAGGTTTTAATAATAATTTTAAAATATTTATTGATTAGCCGGATGAATTATTTTAATTCGATTTCTGCTTCTAATTGGGACTTTTCGTGTTGAACTATTTTTAATAATTTCAATTTATTGTTAATGTATTTTGCCTTTTAATTTTGACTTAATTATCTAATTTATTTTGACTTTGTATTGCGACTTTTTATTAGAATTGTTATTTATTTTTTAATTTATTATTATTGTTTTATTGCGCACTGAAGAAGACTAAGTATAGTTCAAAACGTTTGTAATTGGTTTTTTAAATTAAAATTTTTCTAAGTTTTATAATAATTTTTTATTGCTCGTTTCACATGGCCTCGTAATATTTAATAAGTTATCATTGTGTATTTATTAATATAGTATGTATTATTTAAATAGATTAATATATTATTTAAATACTAAAGTTGCACATTATTCCGCGGATTATTATTATTATTATTATTTTTGTGTTAAAGAAACGCGGAACGTGTTTATTTTATTTTCCCGAATTAAACGATTATTTTTTTTCTTAATAAAATGTCTTGTTAAATAACGCATTTTATTTTTCGGTGTGTTGATACGTTTTGAATTTGGTAAAGTTTGCGCGTTATCGGTGGTCCTAACATCCGTACACGTTCCTGTGAGAGACCGCTCAGTAGCAGCGGCGCACCTGACCAATGATTGAGGATCGATATAAGGCGGCGGGACCTCTGTCTCCAGCTAATTCGGCGACAGTCTTAGCATCAGTGAGCTTCAAACGAGTTAGTGATTCCCCAGCCTCGTGTCTGTATTGACGAATCTTTCTCTAGATTCTATAAATTCAAGATTTATTACAGTGATCACTCAGTGTGGGAATTAGTACGTTTTATTCCTAACCAGAGTAACTAACGTGCCTTCGGGCACGTGCTTTCGGGCTATAAACGGACCTTCGGGCTATAACGTGACACATGTGTCGAATCATACGATACGTCTGATACGTCTCTACTCGAAAACGGGAGACGATTATCATAATATTACGGGGCCCCGGCAGTAACAGAAGAGTTACTGATACATACGATTTAGTTGCACATGAGCGCAACGTAACCAAAAGGTTACATATACGATATACGTCCATTCGCGCTTACGCGCATTCTAACGCACACATACCGCATTTACACGAATTTACGCTATATACACCACGCGCGCTCGGTACCAAGAACGTCCGCTAGGCACCGCACGCCGAGATACTTTTCCGTAGGCGAAAAACCTCCCACGGGAAATATAAGTACGGACCCCTGCGGAGACAATATCGAGAAAGTTTTAGCGCATTTTTTGCTGAAGAGATCTCCGGTGCCTCGACGCCTACTTCCCCCACAAGGATCGGACGACCAACAACGACGGCAAACAAAGAGAACTTTCCTCCTCCTGGAGGAGAAGAGATCATCGCCCGACGACGTACTCGGCCAACGCCTCTGCATCTCTTGGCGAGGAAAAGCTCCGGCGCTCCAAGCCAGGACCTCGGCGCACTCTCGCCTTTGCTTGGCGCCTTTTCGCCTACATCGGGCACACCTTCGCCTCGTGGCGTTTTGCCTTCTTCTGGCGCTCCACGCCCTCAGGTTGGCGCACCCTCACCATCGTCCTGGCGTTTCCTTGCCTCCGTCTGGCGCTCCACGTCTCTCCTCCGGCGTTCCACGCCACGACACAGGCGTCCTCCGCCCAAGCTCCGGCGATCCTCGCCTAAATCCCGGCGCTCCACGCCATTCTTCAGGCGCTCTCCGCCATATACAAGGCGACTCCCGCCAAGGATCCGGCGCTTCCCGCCTAGACTCCGGCGCAACCTCGCCGACACTTGCCGTTTCACGCCACGTCTCCGGCGCTCCACGCCACGTCTCTGGCGCTCCACGCCACGATTCCGGCGCAACTTCGCCGACGCCCGGCGCTACACGCCGCGGCCTTATAGGGCCTACACCTCCCAGGAGAAAACTACTCCTCCTGGACGACGTGCCGCAACCCAGGCCTCGATCCGACACCTGGCGCCCCAAGAAGCCTGACGCCAAACACCCACGTAAGGAAGCCGCTTCTGACAACAAGCGTCGCTGAATCTTGCCAGCAAGACCAAAGCCGCGGGAGGCACCACGAAGAGCGTCCCTTCAATCTCCGGTTCCTGATACAACTATATCAGAACCGAAGTTGGAGCTCCACCCATCGTCGACGATCAGCCTCTCGTCAGACAACGGAAGTCCCAGGCGACCCAGGACCCCGAGGTGCCTGACATCCTCAAGAAGGACAGAACCGACGACCAGGTCCGTCAAGACCCAGACGGAGGAGTGGCCTACCACATGGACACAGAAGTTGGCCACCCAGACGGAGGAGACCAGCCAGAAGAGGACCCAGGACATGAGCACGCAGACGCGTAAACGCGGAGGCCGTCGAAAATACGTGCCCTTGGACTACTTGCAAAGAAACTTACATACTTCCACTTGTACATAAAATAAATCTTTATAATATGTAATCTAAACATGTGAATCATTAGCGGACCTTGCGACACCCTTACGTCCTTACTCTCCTACGAAAGCGAATTGTAGTAAGTATCCTACAAACTGGTGACCCCAACATGATCATGGAGAGGGACGAGCAGATCGCACGCCTCGCGCCTCCGTTCTGGTCGGAAGAGCCGGAATTATGGTTCGCACAGATGGAGAGTCAGTTCACTCTCGCAGGAGTCACTCAGGATTCCACAAAATATTCGTACGTCCTAAGTCACATCGAGACTCGACACGCCCGTGAAATCCGCGACATCGTAACACAACCCCCAGCGGAAGGGAAGTACGACACGGTCAAAAGAGCGCTAATTCAGCGTCTGACTGCCATCCAAGAGCAGCGCATTCGCCAGCTGCTGGAACACGAAGAACTCGGCGACCGGAAACCTTCACAGTTTTTAGGGCACCTGCAAACGCTAGCCGGGAATAATATCCCGGAGCAACTCCTACGTACTCTGGTTAGGGAGATTACCACAGCAAGCGCAGATTATCCTCGCAACTCGCAATGATGACAGGTTGGAGGATGTCGCTGCACAGGCCGATCGGATACTAGAAGTTGCCGGCCGTACAACAGTCGCAGCGGCCTCGACAACGTCCTTTTTACTGGAAGATCAGTTAAAAGCTCTGACGCGACAGGTAGAAAAGCTGACGGCGCAGGCACAGGAGCGACGCAGTCGTTCGAGAAGCCAATCCAGAAATCGAGTCAACAAACATCGATCCTCCAGTCGGTCACAAAAGCAAACCGAAACTGACGAGAGTCAGTGTTTTTATCACCAACGATTCGAGGAAAAGGCCAAGAAATGTCGCCAACCCTGCACCTACAAGAAGGAAAACTAAGAGAGCAGTCGTTGATGGCGGCCAGCGACCCGGACCCTAAACCCTGCCGACTGATAGTAACGGATA